TTTATGTTTTAACGTTGCAGTTTGTAAAAAGAGTAGTGTTCAATTTCGCAAAATTGAAGGCAATTCAAATTGAAATGTTAATGTAATAAAAATGTGTTAAAGAAGCGACACAATATACTCTAGCGCAGCTTCTTAAACTGTGGTTCGCGAACCCCATGGGGGTCACGGCACCTGCAGCAAAGGGTCGCCAAAAATTTTAGCAGTTTGGATATTTCTTTAACTTATAATAACTTTACAATTACGAAATATTTTTACACAATGTATCCAAAAATAGATAAAGATAAGACAATACAGACAAAGGAAAAACAAAAACGTTTCGACGCATTCTTTTTATAATATAAACGTTCATTTTACTTTCTTTGCACGTGGCGCTGTCATTTCGTCTGTTGCTTATTTGAAATATTCACATTGTTCTATCTCTTAAAATTAGAAATTAAAGTCAAGGACCTAACTGCAATAGTATATTACAGTACAAGTGAAAAAATTGACGGTTTCACTCACGCATGTGTCGGATTTCTGCAATGCTGACGGGGTCCCACAAAATGTTCGTAAATATTATGGGGTCCAGGGGTCGCGAAAAAAAATCTCAGTGATAAAAAAGGGGTCGCGATTGAAAAAAGTTTAAGAAACCCTGCTCTAGAAGAATGCCATCATACAAGGTGGTGGTGAATCGATTAACACGTCTGAAATGGTGATAGGACAATATATAAAAATTGGTGAAAATAGACGAAAGTCTATAAATACGTCGAAAATAATTTATTATTTACATATTACAAGCTTACTTATTTTAATTTACATCAAGATGATAGTCTCCGTTCGCATCTGAGCTTTCCTGCAAGCGCACATGAAAGTTGCCGTACGCGGACTCCGCAGGACCTCATTAATAGAGCCTGATTACTTCCTATGTCCACAGTTCCAGTCCAAGAGGCCCAGATTTTCGGCAGCCTACAGAATTATCCTGTAATTCCTCGTAACTTCATTAATTACGGAAACAAATCAAATGAGCTTCAGATATCCCTGAAAGACATCTTTTCTTTAGGGCTTCAAGACTTTTTTTATCACTGCTTTACCATCCCCCTTCCTACAAACCACGACAAGCTATGGCGATGACGGAATATTCAAATAACGAAAAGGTGATTTGGCTCCGTAACACCCTACTTATATACTACATAAGAACACCAGAAGCGAAACAGTAGTTTGACAGTCAGCTACATTGACATAACTCAAAATTCAGCGTTTGGCCACGCCAAAGCCTGTTGGTAGGTTTCTTGTAGTGTTTCTTTTCCGTGTGCAGAGGAAGATCCGTTGCTGGATTCATTTCATGGATACGACCGTTGTTTCTTAAGTTTCGGTTCTATATGCTTGGTCATAATTAAATAAGCCAGTCCAATCCGCTCTTAAGAGCGCGATGAAAATGAATCGGATTTAGCAATTATCATAAAATATGGGAAATTGGATGGTAGGATCGACAGCTTCTCTGCCGACAGCAGGCCCCTAAACCGATTTCGATCATTTGCCGTTGTCGATCTTATGCAGGTACTATGTAAGAACAAGTAAAAATAATAATTTAATAAAAATTATTTCCCTCTTAATAATGTGCCGTTACTAATTTTAAACTTCGTCTACGGTATCCCACTGTCGACTATATGCAGTATCTTTCTTACTGCCGTTCCATCTTATTCTGATGTTGATCCTACACATATCGATTCTACGCAGTATCTGCCCTGTGCGTATGTCAATTCTATGTCGTGTTGACGGTGTCGTTGGTGTCGCACTACGCAATATGCAGGCAAGTCTGTACAAATAATAAAGTCATTAATCTTCTTATTTATTATTAGATCATTATCGAAATTTCCTTTTTAGTGCATGGATAGTATGCCGATGTCACTTCTACGTCGTATCGACGTTATGCAGTGTTGATTCTATGTAATATCAATCCTATGAATGTAAACTTGGACAGTTATTATTTGAAACTAACCAGTTATTATGATTTAGATCTTTACTAGTATAACATCTCCTTTCCTCAACACAATGTAAATTGAGACAGAAAGTATCTAAGCTGAGTGTTTTTGGACTGTAAGACAGAGCGTGTTTCTGCCTCTAGAGGCTACGCTCCTTTACTTCTGCCAACTCGGTTCAGTTTGTAATTATTCGGTTTTGCGTTATTTGATGTCGACATTCAAACTGATACCCTGGTTAGAGTTTTCTGAGCCATCTTAGATTTAAATACGAGTATAACTATGCAGTCTTTGACTATTAGTTCACGTTTCGTGTTTATGAAAGTAAGAGATTCTTTTAAGATATTTAATAAACTTTCGTCTTTCTGATAATAACTGATTAGAGCAAAGCATGTGAGTGCTAACTGTCTTAACGGATGCCATCGTGGATGACTTAATAAAGGAAAATGTCCTTTATACGGGAAAAAAAATCACTTCATTCATGAACTATTTATCTTTGCATTATAAATTCATGAACAAAGATATTTTCCTTTATCGATTCTAATTCGGAAAGAATTTGTGTATAAATGATCATGTATTGTCTCTGAAAATTGTTACATTCTTAAAAGAATAATATTAGCATCTCTACACACAAGTATAATTGCTATGACTAGCATAAAATGCTAGGTAATAATCAGAAAATTGTATGTTTTCATAGAGCAAACTGAATTTGTGATATTCAAGTGCAATCTGAAATTCGCCTTTTGTCCGTTGTTCAGACGAGGGCTTTGCGATCGTAAGAGCTATAAACCGAGCTTCTTTGTTAGGTAACCAGACCTTTCTACGCCACAAAAACTGGTTTAAGGATTTTAACTAAATGATCTAGCTTTTCGACTTTATGCCAACTTGGTATAAAACCGACCAGTCACAACGAAGCAAAGAGGAATTCACGTTCGGTTGACGGTTTTACTAAGTCACTTCACATTCAGTCATGCACAACTTTACCTTCCTCGATTGGATAGCAAGCATTTAAACCCTGTTTTTCTGGTGTGGACTGAGCTAAAGAGATTTGCTAGCTTATTACTGCAATAGTTGTGATAGCTATACCGCCGTCAGAACGCTACTTAAATGAGCGCTGCCACAATGATGGCTTAGTCATGAGTCTTGTCAGTTTTACGGCGTAAAATTCATCAACTCTTTCACACCTGAAGATCAGAGTTTTAAGTCGTATCCAGTTGGGAAAAAGAAAGGTGAGCATACGTCTTTCTGCAGTTAACTCAACGAAGTCGTAGACTGAATGGCATATCATACTTGCTTCTTTATAGTTAATCGGTTTTTATATCAGTGTGACATAAAGTGGAATAGTTAGAACATTCAGATAAAATCTTTATATCAATTTCCGCGACGTAGCAGTCGCTGGTTACCTAGCAATGGAAATTCAGCTTGTGCTGGTTATGACGTAAAATCCTTGTGCCAACGCTCCCTAATATTCTAAAGCAATAACTGTCGTTTCAGACGGATTGGAATTTGTTAAATTACGAATCTTTTAGGTATAATTCAGGGATCACCTTCTTCTCCAGTTATGATCCACAGGAAAGAACGTCAGAATTGTGCCGTATTTTATCCATACATCCAAATTCTAGCCATTTCCGATAGTACTTCTCCCTTCTAGCTATGCTATGCTGCTTGCTTTTATCAGTCCGACGAAGTAGTTTCGTCGGAAAGAAATAAATACTTATAAAAGGACTAAGAATAGTATGCGCTCAGATTGTTTTAAATTTTATGGGCAACTATCTTGTGTACCTTAGATGTAGCTTTGTAATTACCCACCAGCCAAATTCTTCAAAACTGTATATGCAGTTTATTCAATTAATGCTAAGCAATATTGACCCCCCACCCAAAAAAAGGAAGTTTTGTTCCCTAAAAGAAGCTTGCGCATTTGTACTTTCATACCCTTAGACAGAGATAATACCCAGGTGTTTGAACACCTAAGCAAACAGTCTGTGCCTGATGAGAGCATTCTCCTCTTTAACCAAACAAGTGACTTCAATGGGCTCCGGAAGTCTTGAGAATGGATTCTCACGCGACCTCCGTCAAGACGTCTGTGCAGGAATGAAAGTAATCGACCTTCGCTTTTTTTTTCCCTTCACGTTTTAAAGAAAATTTACGTAATCTCTAAAATTAGTGTTGGTCGTTCCAGAATTAACAACTGGCAGTGAAGGCAAATATTGCCTTGCTCTAAGTCAGCTTTTCTTAATTTATTTGCCGTTCCGCCTGCGGATGCCCATATCTAGTGGTGTATACATGTAGCGAACTTACTTGGAGCTCTAGAATAAACAAACCCTATGAATTTTTAAACTGAATTTTTTACCTTCATTAAAGCGAAATTCAGAATGCGAAATCACAAGATAAGCTAAAGAATGATTGCTATTAACGTATATAAAACCCTCATGCCAGCTACCGTATCACAGAGTTCGAATCCCGGAGAGAGCGTGGATGCTTGTAAACACGTATTGTCTTTATGGCATGGGGGCACTAATACCGTCCCTTCAAGAAATAGAAGACCCTTGGAATGTAGAAGAGGTAGAGAAAAGTGGTAAAAGACCCTTGGATTCGTTCATCGTGGTTCTCTCCATCAAGATTGGGATGTAGCTGGACAAACTCATACTCTCCCGTATAAGATGCCGAACTCCTTACCCAACGACAACAGCTAGGTACCTTTTCCTTCTTGACCACGATAATCCGATTCTGGATCATATTAAGATTAAGAGGATTAGTGACGAGTACAATAACAAGTCTACAAGAACAGTTGGGCAGTATACAACGTAACTGTTATCTCTTGGCGACAATAAAGTTCATGGACTTGATCAAGATTACATTCAAATCGAGAGGACTGGTAACAAAAACAAGCCTACAGGAGTTGGGGGAATAATATAATGCACCCTTTACTTTTTGGTCACGGTGATATTCGTGAACTTTGTTTAGATTATATTCAGATTGGAAGTGTTAGTAGCAAGAGCGGCATCAAGTTTGATGGATACGCATAGGAAAGAACATACATATGCTTGCTTCGGCAGTACATATGCTAAAACTGGAACGATACAGAGAAGATTAGCATGGCCTCTGCGCAAGGATGACAGTATCTTAACAAGGGGATCATTAGCAATCGATCATGGTACCTCTAATGACAGAATTTAGAAATTAGAATGCCTAAGAGTATGGCCATGTGCAACTAAATATAAATAACAAAATAGCAGAGTATGATATGATTAATGGGTAAAGGTATAATGATGTAATCTTGCGCATGGCTGAGTGAATTTATAAGCCTGTAATGGTAAGTCATTCGAAATAAGTTTCTGATGACAAGCTGCAAGTGAATGCAAATATAAATAAATCATAAACCGTGAAGGAGCTCCAAGAAGCGTTTATGCATAGCAATGTGCAAACTCTTTCCTTATGTAGTGATAGAAACCTCGCATGCTTGGATTCTATCGTTCGCAATAATGTTAAGGTCAATTCTGATATTCTTTATCGTAGTGCAGAACACCAAATAATAGTTTCTTCTGAAGTTCCTTTCTCCCTTCTATGCGGTGTACATAGGGGAGTAATTTTACCACGGAATAAAAGCAAAATTCCACTTTTTCCCGGTTAATTTGACTTGTTGACTAGCTGTTTTGACATTGTGATGTTTAATGCTTTAGCGATTGGAAAGTGATTAGGATTTAATCTGACTTTGTTGACTGACTGCTGTGGCAAATTGACATACTACTCTGGCGACAATGGATTACGTACGTTGTCGAGAATACTTCTTGAGGATATTTTATGAGAATTTGCAGAATGTTGCTAATCAACATAAATTCGGATTACTTTTCACAGCCACCTACTTCGTTTCAATTGAAGATACTGCATCTAGTGAACGTTCATACGAGCTCTTGGCATGTAGCTCTTAGTTACATTCACAGATGTTGCAAAATATTTGGAAAAAAATGTAGAGTAGCTTGATAGCCAGTTGTTACCAAATTATATATATTATATTCGTAATATATTGCAGAATGTACATAAATTTTGCTGTTTTAAAAATTATTTTAGTACCATATATATGTGGTTGAAACGAAAATAAATACAGAAACGACAATTTTATTTTTGACTATCTCTCCGTGTGTATGAAAAATACATACGCTCACTGAATGTTTGATGCTGCTGTTTAGAAACATCAAGCATTCAGTGAGAGTCTGGTGGTACTTCTATAAATCAAATGACGGTTCATTGTTCATGCATTTCATGTTATTTCTATGGTTTTATGCATTTTGTATGAGTTTTATATAATTAAGTTTAAGAAAATAAATAGTGAAACACTTTATATTGGGGAAAAAGATAGTCAGTTAGTGGAATATCTTTTTCCCCAATATAAAGCAGTTAGTGGAATTGATATTAATGAAAATTTGTTTTACGGTATAAGTGCCTAGTGGCAATGACGATGAAAGTGGGGATGAGTGATGGAATTTATGACATACAGAACAAATTCATGAAAACAATTGATGGCATGGTAAATCTTGTTGTTTCTGAAATGAATGCCGTTACGTTATTCCAGAAAAGGTCTTCAAGTGAAACTACCTGTGCTAGACTCTCAGAAAATGCGTGCAGAATGTCAAGAGCAGGAATCTAAAATGAAATTGCTGTTAGAGGTGACTAAATATGGCAGAGTACGGAATTTACTATTATGGAAGAAGAAAACAAAATGTGTGGAATAACTTTTTTCGGTAAAAAAGGTCTACTTGATGAGGCAAGAAAACTGCCTTTATTGGAAAAAGTTTACGTGCATCAAACTGGTTTAGAAATATATTTTCTTTTTTGAAATTCCTACTATTAAAGTGGTAGTAGTGAGATATGAGTTATCACTGAATGCATGTTGTTGCCAATAACAACAAGCGATAAATAACTTATTAAACACTCTAAAAACAAGACATTTACATAGTGCACAAGACAAGACATTTAAATATTTTTCTCTTTCTCTGAGGAGCTTTTTTAATAGCTCATTGTGTATAAAAATTGTCACGTTTATGCTCACGAATTCACGATTCTACTTTTTTATATAAAAACAAAACATTTAATGAAGAGCTTATGTACATTATTTACATTATTGAAAGCAAAATCATAGATATATTATAAATTTTCCCATCATAGGGCCAATATTCGTTTATCAAGACAATTACCGCTATGCGGCCAAGAACAGATCATTTCAAGGCGTCGCCCTCAAGCTAACTAAAAAGGAAGTGTATTACATTCCTTCTCTGCCGCCAGTCACGTGACCTAGTCGGCGATAGACGATAAAAAATAAAAGAAAAAATGAATCCATCGGAGGGAAAAAGAAATAATTTCAACACTCATAGCTTCGGTGCCCAAATAAATATTCATGTAATTTAGGGTTAATTAACAGTCCAGAAGAAACTGAAATTAACTGGGACGGGTTGATGTTAGTGTAAATTACATTTAAGGATTCGAAAAATTCGGTCATAGTTTGAGAGGTTTTTTTTTTTTGTGAAAACACTATACATTTTATGGGACACTAAAACGAGTTCCTTTTCGTCAGAAGTTTCATACAATTAATAAATGTTCGTAAAATCAGTATCAAATAAATATTGATCTCTTTCAGACGTATGTTATGTTGAATATTATGGAGATTAGTTACAGATGTAAGTTTCTGAATTGTTTTGTTTTTTACTAAGGTAATTCCATTTGGAGGATTGGGGGGGGGGAATTATCATGCGTGCTTCACTTGAGATTACTTTTTTGATGTGAAAGATGGGAACGATGTGTGGGTGGAGGATTGAATACGAGGTGGGAAAGCCTGTGTTTTTAGTTGTAAATGTTGTTGTGCATGTATTTTGTGGAAGAATGTTTGCCAGAGCCTCAAGGAGGCTGGACTTCTTCTTCCACCCCGATTTTGAGGGAAAACACCCCAGACTGGGGGTTCGAGGGTTTCCAAACCTTCTCCCCTCCCAACAAACCCCACGAGTAGACATTCGGCTCGCCATATATTTAGAGTGCCCCTCATGCCACAAAGAGATTATATATTTACAGACATCCATGCCTTCTCCGAAATTAGAGTCTGAGCCCTTCGGTACCGCAGTAGGCTTCCCTAAACACTACATCGTGTGGCCGACTAACTGTAGAAGTTAAATGCTGTTAGTGATCGGTTGTTACAAAAATAGTTTTGTCTCCTAAAAAGGAATGCATGTCAGGATCGGCACTACGTATAATAAGCCGGTAAAGCTCATTGTAATGATCTCACGCATCCTACAGAAAAAAAAAAGACGCTATAATGAGTATTAAGTGCAACGGGAATGCGGCTTAGGATAGACGCTGCAAACGCATCCTCTCTGCCGACACAAGATCGATACGGCAGCTCAAAAACCAATTTCGAGTCTATGTAGGTGTCAGTCCTATACAAATACGCTAAAAATGACAATTTAACAAAATTGTTGGCCTCTGGATTATGCGCCATTGTTAATTATTACGTTCTTTGGCTATGTTATGGAAATGTCCACTCTATGCTAGTATATATTGTACGCTGCGTCGATGTTTTATCAAGTGAATTCTCTGCAGTGTCGATCGCATGTATGCATGTGACGACTTTGGCAAGTGGTAAATGTGCATTAATGAGTTTATTCATTATTAAATCATTTTAGTCGCGTCGATCGTATAGTCCTGTGCAATGTAAATTCTATGTATTGTCGATCATACAAATGTAATGTGTCCAGTGAAGCCTTACTAAGTACAAATCGTAAGGATGTAAACAATGTTTAGAAAACTATGCGTTATTTTGTTATTCGGAGGGGGACAAGTGTATCGAAGTTTGCATTAATTCAGTAAACCACTATGATAGAAGCGATTTTTCTGTGATGTTTATCGGGCAGAATCGGAATCCAAGTTTAAAAGCTTTATGACATTCCGTTTATCTTTGGGATACAGACTGTCCACCGTTGGTCTTCGGAACAGAACCAACAGGAATACATGCCATTTGCACGGTTGGTTGATCATGTGAGCTGAGCATAATGCAAGCGAGGGAAGACACCAAAGGAGGGAAAAAAGTCAACAAATAATTGCTTTGGTAAATAGCTTATTTGCCATTTCAGATCTTAATTTATCCTTTTTAGACGTGAATGGCTTCATAATAAATATACAGGAACATTTGATTAGTGGTACTTTTCTGAAAGTCGTGTTTTGTTGACGTATGAATAAAAAAAAATTCAAATACGACGCACAGTATGTATGTGGAAAATGCATTCAAGCCCACCCCACTTACATAAAGCTGTACGTAATATCGAACGTAGATATATACCGTGGCCATGTCATGTATTTACTAGGTATAGTAAATTTAATTGATAACTTGTACACAATAAGGCATTAAACACATCGAATAAAATAATAATAATAAAATGTACTGTATAGTGTATTGTATTCTTGCAGTGTGTTTTCTGTTTAGTACATACATTTAGCTTCCTAACGTATTAGCCAGGTTTCGGGTTAACAGGACCCACTCTAAAAGTAAAAAGCGTGAATATTGCTTGTTGCGGAACGCTGTTTGGTACACACAGTCAAATCCCGATTAATCAATGGAGTATTAACCGAACTTCAAATTAACCCGATCTTCTTTAAAAATAAAAAGTTAATATCGTTATTATTGAACGATAATGTAATTTCTATCATAAACCATTAACTTGAAACAAAACTGTTATTCAAAATGCGGGAAAGAAATATACGTGGGATAATAACAGTGATGATGATGATGATGATGTAATATTTCGAAGTTGTTTTTATCCACAGCAATATATTTAATCGAGTTATGCTCAATCTGGAATATAAAAGTACTGTGCAGTAAAAAATAAAAAGTCGTAAAAATCTTTTACGGAAGCTGAAGTCAATGACATTATTCAAGTTATTTTATAAATTTTGTTCTTTGATGCCGTTCTTTGCTAACTCAGCATAGTTTTTTTCATTTCTAATGATGTTTATTTTTTAGTGTATTCTTTTTTTTTTTTTTTTTTTTTTTTTTTTTTTTTTTTTTTTTTTTTTTTTTTTCTTTTTTTTTTTTTTTTTTTTTTTTTTTTTTTTGTTTTTTTTTTTTTTTTTTTTTTTTTTTTTTTTTTTTTTTTTTTCCGAATGTTG